AAGAGCGGTGCCTGCAGGCGGAGACAGGAGGTTTCCCATGAGCAGCTGGAGGACACTTCTTCCCTAGGTCAGGGTAGCAAGAAAGGAAAATAATTTAGGAGGGAGAGGACCACACTGTAAGCACATACGGTAGAGGGAAGAGGAACTTTTTTGTTTGGAGTTGCATCTTCTTCCTGGTTACTGGTTTGGGTTTTTTAGGCGTGTTTCTTTGTTGGCTGGTAAGATCTTGATAGTCAGTACTTACAGTTCTTAGTTTGGTATCCACCATAAAAGATAAGGCATGATATTTGTTGTCTGAATTACTTCATGATCTGCGGCGAGAGTGATGCGGAGGGTCTCACAACGAACTCTTACAAGAGGGGACGTTGCAGCAAGAGACTTATTATGGTATGGTGTGCATCCCACCCTGTCGGGTCTGTCTGTCTTTCAGAGGGCTTTAAGACCATTTCATCTTAATTTTACGAGAATTGAGAGACTCCTTTTTTAATCCTTAGTGTGTCAACCAGAACAGTGTCCAACACACGAGAAAAATTATTTTTCTGGGGCATTTATTTTGCATCTCCCACAAACTTGAATGTGCTTTGCATCAGACGTTTATCCATCTGCTTCTTATTTTTCTTTCCTAATGTATTGGAATAAGGTATCTTTTTCTAAAAAAAAAAAAAAAAAAAATTGTAACAGTCTTCATTTTTTCCAGCATAAGAAAATCAGGTCTCACAAATGAGGAAGGAAGCTGTAATTGGAAAAATGACGTTCAGACTTTAATTAGGCACTTTTTACTAACGATACAATTTTCGAAAATATTTTGCATTGTGTGAGAAAACATCTAAACTAAGCCTCATTTAATCAAATTTTCTCTCTATAGGAATGGTCAGATGAAGTGTTCAGTTTGGCAACAAATTTGTTGGCACAGAACATGTCAAGGGATGCTTTCCTGGAAAAAGCGTAAGTGGCCATCGTATTTAATGCTGTGGGTGTTGGTCTTTTCTCAGCGTCATTTTCCTCTTTTCTTGTTAGTCACATTGTCATCTATTGTTTCTGCTTTGATGAGTTGTCACTTTTGTAAACACAGGCTGTCCTTTCTCATGGTTTTAAAAAGCCTGTTATCTAAACGTCATTTAAACAAAAATCTTGTTAGGGTTCTTCTCGCAAACTACCAAGTTGTAGCAAAAAAACAGAATGAAATGCCATCTTCCCCTTGTATACCAAAATAGTAGCTTCAGCTGTAGTCTGCAGCTCTCCATTTTAAATGAAGGAATATTCTGGACTGACTTGCTTCTGGTTTATTTTCCTTTTTTTCTGTTATTGATCAAAAAAATGAGAAATGCAAGAATTCCATTTTCCTTAGCCTAATCTCTCTCATTTTCATGTGATTCAGAGGGAAGCTGTGAATTCGTTCATCTAGGTTGCTTTGCATAGCATGCAGATTCTGGGTTGTTTTCAGTAAAGTACAAAAGCTATTTATGAGAATGTTTGGGGTGTAAAAACACACCTCCGAAAGGAAAGAGAACTAAACCTGAGATCAACGATTCTCAACTGGATGATAAGTGCACGTGCTGAGGGAGTTTTGTAAGTGATAGCGTTGAGAACAGCATGGCAAAGCCTACCAGATAATGATGGTAAGTAACCGGGGTACTTACTGGCCTTTTGGGGTTCTGAAAGAGAAGATATACTCTCCTCAGCCTACAAGTTGGCTGGTTAAATTCAGCTCTGTGTCACCTCCAAAGACTTTTTAATTTCTGCTCACAGACTGAGGCTTGGTCCCGCTAAATACCAAGCTGGGACTTGGGTTCCTAAAACTTGCCTCCATCCAAGAAGCAATTTAACCCCCCTTTTCCTGAAGTTCCTAAGACTGTGCATGCCTAATTCACCCATATTTAATCAGAAGGTTTCCAACTGCTTAACTTTAATCCCACATACATATTCATAAGTGCCTGTTCTGGGAGCGGGGGGAGGCTGTGTGTTTCCTTCTCATGTTGTTTGTTGTGGTGCAGCTGAAGTCTACAGAAATTCTTGAAGAAACTTTGAAGGTTGAACATTGCAGGAACTACAGCTTTGTGTCTGATAAAACTGTGTTGGGACAGCAATGATAGGTTAAGCAAACAAAATCCCAAATGGATAGAAACGTTTAACATTTCCTTTTGGCTCCACATGTTGACGGTGGAGGAAGCACGCTGCTAACCTGAGCAGACCCAGGTGTGACAGCAAGAGCAGAGATGACTTCCTTTAGCTCCACAGGTTGTAAGTGACTTAGGGAGTGATGTGGTAATACTACTTCCATGCCCCTTACCGCTCAAATCCCCAGGTGGCCAGTGGACTTTGCTGACAGGTCTGTAATGGGGAGCATTGTGGCTGTGCCTAATGGATGCTTTCATATCAGGTTCACAGGAGGAACATGTTATCACACAGTATAGTAGAGCCAGTCTAATTGGGAGCCATTTTTTGGTGGTTGTTCCAGCAATATTAAATAAAGATGAAGTCACTGGACACATTGCGTAGATTCAGTA